GAGAGAGAGAGAGAGAGAGAGAGAGAGAGAGAAAGAGAGAGAGAGAGAGAGAGAGGCTGAATGGCAAAATTAAAATATGCGTCAAATTGTGGCCGCGATCTAGTTCGCAGTTGGAATAATTTTTTTTAATTTATTTAACGTTTTTCCTGAAAAGATCACAACAAAATTTACGAGTACTCCAATTTTCAGGTTTTTTCACGCATTCTTCTGAGAGTGAAAACTCATTGAATTTGGAGTACTTTTTCAAGTTCGCAATACGTCAGGGGTGCGTTTTATGCCCCTGAGAACATTTTTCGTTGTCGTTTGTTATACGGTCGTTGGAGGACTGGAAAAACAAGGGATGGCAATGTAGGGGGTAGTGGCATCTTATTTGAAACCGTCGGACCGGTAGCTGCCCGTGGGACCACATGGGTTTTGGTCCAGGACCGCGTAGGACCGTAGCTGCACGTAGGAGGCCGAGGAGGCCGCAGTCCTTTTTCGAAATTGAAACGGTGCGGGTCCACTTTCCTAGAATAGCAGAGTTCCTCGAATAAAAAACATACACGTTTTATTCGAATACAACCTGTACCCTTTCTACTCGGATTTCGAAATGAAAAACTCTTGTATTCTGATAAAATTACTTCACTTTTTGTTGGAGGTCCGAGCCTGCCCTTGTGCTCCCCGCCACTGACATGCTGCATGCTGCATGTCTCTCTCTCTCTCTCTCACACACACACACACACACACACAAACACACACACGCAAATACATTCTCCTGTCTATTGATGGGGAGCGCCACCTGCTGGAAACTGGGTCCAGCGTCTCAGGAACATCTTGAATAAAGCATACCAACCGAGACCCCACACACACTCTCTTCGAGTTGTGTATAGCGAATATGACAAAACATACATACATCATAATCACTACCTTACCCTTCCCGAACCACATAAACAAACGAACTACGGGCTGCACACCCGTGCCCTCACGGTAAGTCTATTGGCCCACACATGGCTGAGTGGCAAAAATGGAAAATGTGCACAATCGGCGCGACAATTATTTCTCGGTCTAAATGATTTTTTAAAAATATTCTAATATTTTTCCTAGAAAGAACACGACCTCATATATGGATTCTCAAAATTTCAGATTTCTTTGCGGGTTCCTTCGAGCACAGGAAATTGCCAAAGGTGCCTCTTGCAAAATGTCAGTTTCGTTGCACCCGACCTCCCTGTTTTGAGAAGACGGGCCTCAATGCCTGGGCCTGAGGGCCCTTACCCCACCCCCACTTGTTTTTGGGGTCCACTTCCACCTGAGGACCGGTCCTTGCTTTTTCCAAAAGTCCCGGTTATTCCAGAGCTGCCTGTAGGTAGTCCCCAATTTTGCCAAGGACTGGTCCCCCCCAAACTTTTGCCCCCTAAAAACCCACTTTGCATCCTGGTCACCCGCCGCCGAAAATGTGACACCTTGACGCAGACGCCGAAGCCCACTATGCCGCAGCCTTAGGACTGTGAACTTAAACCACCAGTACCTCGCTCAGCTATCGGCCGTGGGCCTTCCCGTATACGCGCCGCAGCCTTAGGGGGGTCGGCCAAGGGAAGGCCCGGTCGTAGCGCGGACGCCGGGCCCCGCTTCTGTAGGGAGGACACAGTAATAAAAATAGTAATAATAATAATAATAAAAATGAAATACACAAACGAAAAAACAACAACGGGAAAAACAACTAAGTCATGCGCGCGCGTACTCGCTCGCTCGCTCGCTCGCTCGCTCGCTCGAGAGAGAGAGAGAGAGAGAGAGAGAGAGAGAGTCTCATTTCATAAATACGAAACGGGAATGCATCCTCCTGCGATAAGATGCATTCCCATTTGGTTTCTCGAAACGAGCGAGTGAGCGAGGGAGAGAGAGAGAGAGAGAGAGAGAGAGAGAGAGAGAGAGAGAGAGAGAGAGAGAGAGAGAGAGAGAGAGAGAGAGAGGCGGCGAGTTCACCACAACCCTCCGTGCAAGTCGCCGCCCCTCTCTCTCTCTCTCTCTCGTTCGTTTCGAAAAAGTAAACGGGAACGCATCTTCCCGCTTATCGCGCGAAGATGCGTTCCCGTTTACTTTTTCGAACGAACGCGCGGGAAGATGAGAGAGAGAGAGAGAGAGAGAGAGAGAGAGAGAGAGAGAGAGAGAGAGAGAGAGAGAGAGAGAGAGAGAGGG